TAGTGCATTCATAAACTCTTCCATTTTATCCAAAATTGTACATGCTCCACTACTAATTGTATTATAGCAGACTTATAATTACGTATTTCACGTTTTTGTTTATCAATCACTTGTATAATTAGATTTTATAAGTAACATCATGTGCGATTCATCCGAAACTTTATTTTAAAGAATACAAAACCAACAATCCATGGCATCTTTATTCAAAAAGGTGGAAACAGGGAAAGGAAGATTTTCGTGCAAAAGATTCTGAAGAGTGAAAGCTGGATCACTCTAATCTGTTCTCTGAACTTCCAGATTGTAAAAGTAGACTGTCCGTGTGGTCCTAAGTACAGGACTACTATAGGCGTTGGTTTCAGGACGAGAAATTGTTTCGCTCGTTGGAACTGGATTAAATGCACCAACGATAAGTTTCTTGTTCACTATTTGAAAAAATAAATAAATCTCAGTATTCATTTTCATAAGAAGCGAATAAAACATGTATCTGCGAACTGAAAGCGTCATGCATGATCGAAAAAACCTTGGCAAAAGAGTCTAAAATGTGTGTAACCTGCTCTGAGGTATTGCCAAAAACAATCTTATAATTGCTGATATTTTCGTACACATACTTGTGAACCAGATATTTGAACTTCGTTAAGGGTAGCGACTCAATATCACGAAGTCTGATTTATTTGGCGTCGGTAGAAATGGTATTTCCCTCTTCGTTGCTAATAGCCAAAAGTCTGATGTTATGAACATTCAATTTGACACTACAAAATGCTCTGTTGAAATCATCAAATGTGAAAGCAATGATACTCAAAGGCCCTTTTAACAAAAGAAAAGTTACTTCGATTTTTTGGAATTGATATGACCGAAAAGTACCAGTAATATAATCCTTTGCCCTAACAGAACAAAATCTCAACAAGTCATACTGAAAAACTGGGTTTGAACTAAACAATTTGACATTCACGCCCGAGTCGCCAGCCTTGGCTTCCATAGACACATGTCAAGAAGTGATGCCGAACATGTGGGACATGGTAATACTTGAATCGGTAAGTTTTACCAAAAGCATGTTGTTAAAGATAAATTAATTGTGCATGATAATTGTGTAGAATGCAAAAGGTTTTATAGCTCCTTCTGTTACACATGAATCGGAAATGTTGTCGAAAATTAAGCATGAATAACTAAGAATCAAAGGTATTTACGAGAATCCCAGAATCACAATCCACTCTTACGATAAATATTAGTTCTTAAAACTTCAGTACAGTAGTGACATTAACTTAATTAAAAACTCTGTCAAATGAATAATCCTTCATATCATCTTTTTGTATGAAGTATTACACACTAATCAGAATTTGTCAGTTCAAGAGATCGCATATCGTGTAAATCTTTCAATATAGATACTTGTACTTCTGACACTTTAATTAAACGTTGGCTCTTAAAAAATAGGAAATAAAACTCTGTCAATGTACACACAGTAATATTTGACACAGAAACATGTGCTTACCCCTGTGTATTTCTAGACAGCAAATAGGAACGATTTTGAATATTCAACGCATGGCATACTAAAGTCACTGCCAATAATAAAAAAAAGTTTATCACATAAGATAGTGCTTGAATATCTCGTTTTCATTTGAAGTATTAGTAATACCAAAAGTCAGTGTCACTTCAAAATATTCACACAGGCACAAAATGTACAAAAGGCATATGCAAGTATAGTCTTAAATCTTTAAAATTCTTTTGCCTTGTTAAAGTAACTCTTTTTTTTCAAGATAAATTCTGAAGAAGTATACTTGGATTGTTTAGCTTAACTTATAAGAGCAACAACTAGAACGTTGTTTTAGCAATCATTTATCCAATCGTTTTATGAAGTCAATCAAATAACTATGTGAAGAAACCTTTATCTGTACTCTGGTGTGTGTAACATTTTATGTGAATCAAACTTTGCCTAGTCTATAATTTTTCTATTAAAATTAGATGTTTTTAAACAAAAAGAAAATTCAAAATGAGAACTTAGACATATTCAGTATGAAGATATTAAAGTCAGTCATTTAGAATAAAGGGTAAATGTTTCTATTGCGACACATTGTGCAATAAAACTAGAATATTTAACAGCTGACTAAGCCCAAGATACTGAACTTATAGAGGATACTGATTAGTGGGAAAATCTATATGGAAATTAAATTGGTACATACAGACTTTATAAATTTATGCTTGTATTTATCGCGCGATTTTTTTATTTTACGCCACTGCTTTTCAATTGAACATGCCACATTAACATGAAGAGTAAGATCAAAGTTCTTAGAAACTAAACACTAGACTATAAGATGTCAACTAAGATGAATAAAATATAAAGATATAAAAGGGCAATGCGAAGACGAATCAGATATGAGTGTCTTCGAAGAAGTATAGTGAAGTACAACTGGTAAGACTATTCAATGTTGATTTATAAGAAGGGCTTTCAGACAATTAAAGTAGTTATATATATTTAAAACCAAAACAGGCTTATATGAATAAGACTGAATCAGATTATAGTAAAAACAAACTAAAATTTTTACTAGATAATTTTATGGTCCTTTTATAAGAAATGGATAAGAAAGCAGTCAATCAAATCAAGACATCTGAGCTCAAAAAGAACCAACAAAAGAAAAAAAAGGGGGTGTAGCAACACATAATCCAGTCACTGAAATTAAAGAGATCGAAGAAATTTATAAAAGAGAATAGGGTAATTGCGTCTACTTAGAGTTCACAGATCTGAGGATAAGTTTCCCTTCAACTTTAGCGCCAATTAAATAAAACTAGAATTAAGTTTCTGAATGGACAATTGAAGGACCAAACGTTCGTCCGATTCGTAAAAGGTTTCTTGCAGTCATGTATAACAATTATTTAGAATTTCAAATTACGTTTGTGGTCAAAATGAATCAATTGTAACGTTGTGCCTTAGCGGTTAAGTTGTTTACTAAGGGAACAGTTGGGCAAGAGTTCAAATCTCGGCTTGTATGACATACCTAAAGGAGGGGAGGGGAAAAGAAGGGGAGAGAGAAAAGAATAAAATTAAGAAATTGATTACATAATTGAATTACCTCGTTATTTAATATGACAAGCTTTTTTCAAAGCCCAGCGTACCGAACCATAGTGAAGGTCAAAACTTTTACGGTAACGGAGGTTCGGTACGCTGCGCTTTGAAAAAATCTCGTGTTGCCACAGGCCTGTTTAAAAACGAATAAGGAATAAAAATTTATTTAAATGAAAAAAAAAATGTGCATGAGAGCGAATAAAATATATTAATTTTGAAAGATTTCTGAGTAAACCACATTGGATGTGTAGGTTCCTTCCTCACTTTCTATAGTTGATGTTTCGGGAGGAATTAAAACTTTTATATCGTTTGGTCTTTTAACTCGATATAAAGCCACGTAAAGTTGCCCGTGAGAAAAAACAGGTGTTGGAAGGTATAAACCCACAGAATCTAAAGTTTGGCCTTGGGACTTGTTGATTGTCATGGCAAATGCTGGTTTGATGGGAAATTGATATCTCTTAAATTCAACACCTACCTGCTGCACCGTAGAACACAAAGTAATTCGGGGAATAAGGATAATGTTACCCTCATACGGTCCAGTTGCTACTTCAGCCTGAATTGTATGCAAAAGAAAGGCCCTACAAATTAATCTTGTTCCGTTACACACACCTTGCGCAGGAGCCAAGTTACGAAGCATCATAATTGGAGAGCCTACTTTCAGCTTCAACTCATGAGGGGGAAGACTACTACATTCTAAAGAATTCATAAATTCTGGTGGTAAAGTCAAAGCATCGTTGTCAGAAAGGGCAGTATCGGTACTCAGAAACTCTCTAAACTCTCCTGGAAATTTATCCAAAATGTAATCGTTAACATATGATACAAATGCATTCGTTGGGGTAAGAATCGCTTTTGACATCAAATTGAGAGAGGAAATATCTGCATCATTCTGGAAATCGTTATAAACATGTTGACAGAGAGTGCTGATACTGTTTCCCGGCAGGACCATTTGATCAGGCAAACGAATTCAATTGGTAATGTCTAGATGTACAGGGTATAATCCTTTTCCGATAGTCAAAAGTATTGTCGAAAATTCTTCTAACTCTCGTGCCGACTCCAGATTATTCACCAATTGAGCCTGTTGTACTCGCATGTTTGTTGTTAATCTCAATTGCTTTATTTGACACCAAAGATGGGAAGTGATCATACAGGATTGAATGATGTCGTCTTTAGTACCCTTAGGAACAACCGGTAAAACTTGACGAAAATCGCTACCAAAAACAATTAATTTTCCACCAAAAGAAACTCGGCTAAGTCGCATATCTTGGTGCTTTATGATATCTCTAAAACTTCTATCGACTGTTTCCAAAACATCTCGACTAATCATAGAAGCTTCACCCCAAACTATCATGGTGAATGACGCAATCAACGATGCATTCTGACTTCTTGGTTTTCGAAAACACATTGAGGCTTGATCACAGTTTAAAGGAATACCAAATCTGGAGTGAGCAGTGCGGCCACCCTTTAAAAGAAGAGATGCGGTTCCACTAACAGCCACGGAAAGAGCGATTCGGTTTGTTCTTCGTACGGCTTGCAGTAAATCGTTAAAAATAAACGTCTTACCCGTGCCACCAGGACCATCCAAAACACAAAGATTATCTTTTAAGTGAAAATGGGTGTGAGTGTGAATTTTTTCACTGTCGACCAAGTTCATTACAGTTTCAAAAACAGTACGTTGATCAGAATTAAATGGTAGTTCAGCAGGATCGATCATTGAACGTTCGGCTTCCAGACACAATTCACGCTGCTCACGCTCAAGTCTACTCATTCCAGGAAATTCTTGGTCATGGCTACCATTTCGGGTATCGATTGAAGGTAAATTAAAGCCAGCAAAATCAGATATTGTTATATTATGAACATCTAACATATTGTTTAGATCCAAGAGGCAATTAACATAAGCTGTCTCCTTCATGGTTTCAGTTAAAACAGAAATAACTTGGGTTAGTAGTCTTTTCTGTGCAAAAATTAATCATCAGAAAGGTTTTCTTTGTTTTTAATCCACAGTTGAAAAGGACAGGACAGTTCACAAAAAACCAAAACCGTGGCAAACAATCTTCGTAACATTAAAGGTGATTGGAATGTATCACTTTCAAAAAGACACGTATCCCACTGTTCATCGTCGGCAAGTAAACCCTTTGCACGGGCGGTAGCTTGGTATGCTTCATAGAGAACACCATCAACAGTGCGTACATCTTCAAAACTCTTAGCACCACAAACGTAATTTAACAACAGGCGCAGATAGTACTTTTCAGATTCTTTAGGAGAAACAGAATAGATGCGACCTATTGTTTGGCGGAGACCTCTCTGTCTTTTCCTCCAAAACGTTTCACGTTTTTGCCATGTATAATATTCTGGAATTTCATGGTACAAATATTGATTTGCCTCTAAGTCAGTTCGATTTAAGATAAACCAAGCGGAAAGGGTGGTTTCTTTGTTAGCGGAATTAGCAAGTACATCATTAAAGACTGCACCCTCTGTAAAATACACCATTTCCTGTCCAGGAAGATGAATACTTAACCGTTGATGAGAGGGAAACTCTTTATGGAACGAAAAGCTAAATATTCTCCACGCGGCTTCCGGTGCAGAAACATATCGTGCGTCCACAAAATGATTAATCTCATCAGGAGCTACCAAATTGTTTTGTTGAGCGCTATTGCTAATTTGAACACTTGCACGATCGTGGCCTTTGTAAACATACTTGTAAAGACACTTGACAGCGGATACATTATTAAAAATTTCGACATTCATGTGTCCATGGTATTTCGTACAAAAATAAACATTATGCGGAACGACCCAAACATTATCCAAAACAATACCACCTCGTTTGGTAACGTTTCTACCATCTCTTCTCCTTCTGTATATTGGATAACCTGATTCTGCAGTGGTAGTGATAGGTGTAAATGTTTTGGGATAACCTTTTGAACACTTTCCTTCTTTCATGCAAACAGCTCTAGGGTTAAGTACGCCACATGGACCATGCATCATATTTTTGGTAACAGTTTCGTATGCCAAAGGAAATAACTCTTGGTCAGGGATTTCAACGGAAATGATTTTGTCAAAATCTTTTGTAGTCCTTGGTTTATCTTTAGGTCTGAAAATGAAAAGCATATGAGCGTGAGGCAAACCTCTTTTTTGGAATTCTATTACGCCAACATATCCAACAACAACACCAAGAACATGGTCTTTGGTGATATCATTTAAAAGACTTTTGTATTTGAAGCGGAAAACTCTTGCACAAAGATCAGGTCTATCAGCCGCAGTTTGGCCAAAAAGCAGTTCATTTTTAATTTCGGGCCATGTCGGGTTGCATGTAAACGTAATAAAAAAATCAGGTTTTCCAAAACGTCTGACAATGCTAATGGCATCTTGATAAAGTTGGGACATATGTCTGGGACCACCAATGAATGAGCTTGGAAGAATTACTTTGCGCCCAAGAGAGCTTGTATCATTATCGTTGTGTGCAACAGCATCTTGTAATCCACGGTAGAGTTCAGTACGTAAAGTTGATTGATTATGTCTTATGTAGTTTAGACGGAATTGTTCAATTTTAGCTTACATGTCAACAATGTATTGATGGAAAAGTTTTCCGAAAAGATGAAGATCATGTCCACTATTTCTAAACATGAGGTGAAAACTATAAAATTGCATGGCTGTAACCTTATAACCTCTTTCAGATGAGCATAATGAATGCCATCCATGTTGACCGGTAGGAAATATCAAGGAATTAGACATTGGATCATATGTTTGATTTAACTCATTAATTCGTTTCAGTTGACCCTCGTTTTGGGATCTTATAACGATATCACAAATTTTAACCTCATCCCCTTTCTGTCTACTATTGTAAGAAAATATTTTAACCAAACATAAGGTGCTCTCAAGATCGGAAACCGAAAATAAATAGCCTATTTTTTATACAAAAATAGTGAAAAAAGTCTCTGAAATGTAGAGCTAAATTTGGGCAAAATAATACATATACATATAAGGAATCAAATAAAAACATGATCAAAGTGATCTTGTTTTCAAAATAGTTTACTTGAAAAGGAAATGATAAAATAACGAACTTCTTTAAATCCAGTGTTTTTTTATTTTTATTTTTCTTTCCCTTTAATTTGTCAAATACATTTTATCACTTACCTTACTATGAACAATACCGAAGCTAATAACAATGCCCCCAACAATGTACGTGGTCGTGGACGCGGTCGTGGAAATGGACGTGGAGGCAGACGTGGACGTGGCAGACGCGCTGGCACTTTTGTGTTTGTTGTCGATCCTACCGTTCAGCAAAACACCATTCCTGTTGACAACGGCAACACCGAAGCTGACAGTAACGCCAACGTTGATGATGACGATGAGCCTGAACAATTATCTTCACGGTCCTACAATGTATGGCCTGATGTAGCTATTTGTATCCTCCTCGAAATTATGGCTGGTACCTACAGCTACTTGCTGAGAAGAAGCGATACTGCCTTAAAGCAGCTTATCTGGGTACATTCGGCTGCTTTGCTGAAGGAAAAGTTAGCTGAGAATGCTACCACTGATGTCATCACGGCTTTTTTGACCAACTTTAGTGAGACAAGCATGCAAAGAAAGTGGGCAGACATGAAGCAGCGTTTTACCAGAGTAAGAAATGCAGCAAGAGAAACCGGAGTTGGTGGAACTGTTCCAAACATGCCGTACTACGAGGAAATTGCTAAGATTACTCAGGATGATCCCAGCATCCAACCTGAAGTGATTTACGAAAGCATCAACATGCAAGAGAGTGGTATTCGATCTTACAGACGATTTAACGACGCCAATTTGATGAATGCTATTGGATCCGATGGCCCTGAAACAACATACTTGGGACCTACAGAAGTTGATCAACTTGTCATTCAGAAAGCATTTGCTGATCGATATCCTGCTAGAGATTCTACCAACAACGAAGGACCTGCAGTGCCATCATTTTTTGAATCAGCATCCGCACCTCCCCCACCAACAACAGCACCAGCACCAGCACCAACACCAGCAACAGCACCAACACCAACACCCACACCAACACCAACAGCCGTACCAACCTCAACACCAACAACCGAACCACCAACACCAACAGCCGTACCAACCTCAACACCAACAACCGAACCACCAACACCAACACCAACACCTACATCAGCATCCGCAGCACCACCAACATCGACAGGCGCAACACCTCCACCACCACCTTCATCCACACCTCCACCTCCATATACATCCGCACCACCTCCACCTCCACCTCCATATACATCCGCACAACCTCCACCTCCACCTTCATCTGCACCACCTCCACCTCCACCTTCATCTGCACCACCTCCACCTCCACCTTCTTCTGCACCACCTCCACCAAGATCTACCCGTACATCGAGAAATAGTCGAACTTCTGGTGAGCAGTCTTCATCAACTAATCCTATTGAAGCTGCTCGTCAGTTGTCAGACGAGCATATGGCACGTGCCCGCCAACTTGGTGTAGAGATGATGGATCGCATGGCAGCATCACAAAGGGAAGATCGAGAACAAAGACTTCTCGATGTTGATAACATGTTGCAACGTATCAGTCGTAATCGACAAATTGCACTGGAAGATATGCAAGCAAGACGGCGACAAGAGACCAGAGAGAGATACCGTATGTTCGAAGAAGTAAGAAGTAGACGAGAGGCTGACATGGAAGAGCATAGACGTAGACGTATGTCTGATATGGAGACTATCCTGAATAGATTCGCAGCCATTCGAAGAGGTGATAGTGATACCAATCTTAATGGTTCATCTTCTACTGACAACAATAATTAATTAAATAAAATAAAATTTTTAATTCATTAAAACCTTTTGAAAACTATGAAAGTCTATCTGTTCCCCTCATGATATTGTTTCTTCTTAAGATAGACATTACCTTAAGACGGCGCATCCCGGCTGCGTCGATGGTAGCGCTGGTACCATCAAAAGGAAGAGGGGGTTCAAAATTCACCTCGTTTTCATACTGGTTTCGGCGATCTGCCTCCACAAAACCCTCGAAATCTAATCCTCCATCCAACACTGCCTCTTCAATGTCATTTTGATTTATACAAATGTTGTGTAAATCACAGCAAGATATGATAGTTTTGGCCATTCTATCAACACTAAGCATATACAAATGCTTCCAAAGGAATCTCCACCGGGATGTGAGTCCACCAAATGCATGTTCTATTTTTATGCGAGAACTAGAAAAGATTTCATTGAAAATCTTTTCTTCTGCAGTGCTTTCACGTCGGCCATGAAATGGAACAATGAGGTTTGGCAGCAAAGGGTAAGCCGAATCTAGGTTACATCATTAATAATTTGTACACTATGGTATGATTAATGAGTTTACCTCCCAAAATATAAGTGTTTGCGGGACACCATCTGGCCGCATCAAACAAAAGTTTATGATAGATCACACTGCTAGTAAACACTCGGGCATCATGGTTTCTGCCTTAATATAATAACAAACGGTAAGCTGCTATATCATTTTTTATCCTTCCATACGAACTTACCGGAATGCCCAGTTTTTACATACATAAACCGAGTACGGGCATCGCATATGGCCATTAAGTTCATAGATGCGTGGCTCTTTCTATCGACATATGCATTTCCGTTAATTGCTGGCTTTTGAATGACGACCAGCTTGCCATCAATCGCACCTAGTACACCAGAAAGTCTCGTGGCATCAGGTCCACCAAGTTCTGAAAACTCACGAGCATTGTTCAAAGCTCTATCTCTGTCGTCGATAGGCCACGTTATAATTTCGGGAGTAATCTCCAACATGGCATCAATAAATCTGTTTGTGAAATTATTGAACGATCCGGCAGTTACTCCAAGATGTGTTTCAGCAATGCGATAACCAAAATGGGTGTTGGCAAATCTCCAAAGCACACACGCAACCTGGACTTCCACAGAGTATCCACCTCGCAAAATTGATCCAAGATAAGCAGAACATCTACTTAAACGATTGACGAGCCACTCAAAGGTACTCTTGTTAACGCGATAATGGGCTCTATAACTGTGGCGGCTGTTACGATCATCTGACAGGTTAGGGTGCTTGATTGTCCAGTAAGTTTCATACGTGTCCATACGCTCGGTTCTAACAACCCTTCTGTGGACTTCTCTGGTCATCATCCAAGGGCTGCTTATAAAAATATAATAAAAAATGTCATAGTTGACAAGAGTGGTTGCATGTAAAATTGTTTCCCTGATCCAAAGTTCAAACAAGGAAAAGACATCTTGGTTGCCTTGGGTGCGGGCAAAGTCTGCAACAACGCGCTCTTCGGCAATGGCTACCTCTTGTTCAAGCATTTGCTCTTCCAAATCGTACTCTTCGTCCATTGCACTAATTTCGTCCACCAAGGCATCGAAATATTGATCTTCGTCTTCGAAATGTTCAGCGTCATCTTCCATCCAAAGTTGTTCTTGCATCATGTCGAAGAAAGTTTCGTCAATTGGGTTCATGTTAAATAAGTACTTTAAAAAAATTAAGATAAGCGAAAAGGAAATATTTTATTTTTTATTTTCTTTGATTTAATAAATCACGTTGGTCCTTTAGTAGATTCGAAAGTGAAAAGCTGTCACGTCATCACCTGATCATTGAATTTTATTTTATTGTCTAATTTAAGAAATGGGGTACACTCCCAAAAAAGGCTCGATCACCATTCCGAATTTTACCTTGAGAGCACCTATAGACATTAATTAAGAGCTTTCAAAGTACGATGGTTACACCATTCTCAAAAACAACTATAAATAACCCCTTCCATTTTTTTTAATAAACTTTAGACATATTTTACTTTCACAAAACTTACTATAACCGAGCCATATTTGCTCTTACTTCCTTTTCTTTTTCTTTCTTTCTTTATTTTTATTCTTTCTTTTTTTTCTTTTCTTCTTTTTTTTATAAAGACTTACTTGAAAACATCTTAATTTATAAGAACCATTCAGTAAATCTCGAGATCCTGTACAGTAAACAACTTTCTTTTGAATAGTAACATACGTACTTTAAACAGTCTCAATAAAAACTCTTCGATATCTACTTTCTCTTTTGTATAAATATATAAGAAAACATCCTTATCTGGAACCATTCTATATATTTCTGACCTTGTGTGAACACCTTCTATTATTTTCTATAATCAGAAACAGTACACACTTTACTCCGTCAAACAAAATCATTTACTTTTATTAAAATTCGTTAAGAAACATCCTTAATCGGAACCATCATAAGGTAATTAAGACCCTGTATAGTAAAACAACTCTCTTTTGAAGTACCATTACATACTTAAATCAGTCTTGATAAAAGCTTCTCGTTAACTTAATAACTCATACAATATAATCATTGATTCTTTTACGAACTCTTGATTGTTCCTTTATCTTTCCCTTAATAACAATACGATAACAAAGGTCTAATCAAAACCTATTAATTGATTTGGTGCTCACTTTAAACTCAATCAACCCACGTCTTTTTTAAACTCTACGGAACATCCATTTTATAATACTATCACTACCCAATATTAAAATACCAACTTCAGTTGATGTAGTTGGGGAGTTGTATCGTCTTAGTTCCGGTAATCCCTCAGCTCTAAATACCATTGTTGCATCTGCAACTTGATCAGGATTTTCAATTAGATACTGATTCATCGTTTTAAAATCTTTGACAATGGGATTAATATCGCGCATCAAGATTTGTAAGTCGGCGAAAGTGTTGATATCGACATGGCTTGCGACACGGTGCCTGTTACTAATTTCATTTTCGGCATCGTAGACGTAAATTTGAGCGAATGACGGGGCTGCATTTTCAGATGGAAGCAACGACCCGATACGGTGGTAAATACTACCATGGATTCGAAAAGCGTAGGCACCACCACGGGAGTTTTGAACTGAACTGTCTAAATTTACACACATTGAAACAAAACTCAGAGCATTGTTGTATGAGCGTATGTGGCTTTTGAACTCTTTGCTTCTTTGATCATTATTTCGTAACAAACTCGAAATGAGTCTGGGAGTTGGTTGAAATGACTCTACAACATATCTACCCAATCCACAGCAAAGTTGAAACCTGGCAGTGCTAACACCGCCTTCCGATCGCTCCTGAACCCACATGAGTGCATTGCAATCAGAGCACATGGTCGACATTCCTCCCAAAAAATGACGCTCTGGAAGATTTTCTGTTAGCTTAGCTTGATTCAAGCTGGAGATTGCACGGTTACTATTAATGGGACACGGACTGCTTGTCCTTCTGGAATGTCCAAGTTGTTGACAGCTTGAGCAGCGAACAGTGTTTTCTTGGACATGATCTTGATGTAGAATTACTTCATGATCGTCAACCTCCATGTCCTATTTTAGGCAACGTCAGTTTAAAAGTTTAGAAAAACATTTCTTATTATCTGTACCTCAGTAACTGATGTTTGGTTATCTTCTGAATTGACGTTGTTATTGACAGACGATGACACCTAAAAAAAAAAAAATATTGAGTCTTTCCAAATAAAAAAAAAGATTCCCAAAACAAATACTTACAATCGTAGTTTGGTTTACTGGATTTAAGCAACAATCCCGGTGGGATCTACGACGATGACCTTTCCCACCACAGGACGCACAGTATACACTATTATTTGACATGTTTAAAAAAAATAAAGAAACAACGTTAATACTATGGGCCGTGTTCTTGGGTGGAGGGGTTCCCCCTCCCCTCTTGCTGGGGAAACCCCCGCACCCCCAATTTTTTTTCACTGCTTAAAAATTACGCTGTTTAAAAAAAAATACTGTTTTTTATTACGCTATTTAAAAAAAAAAAAATACCATTTTTTAAGATATCAGCTCTTTCATGCTTAATACTATGGGCCGTGTTCTTGGGTGGAGGGGTTCCCCCTCCCCTCTTGCGGGGGAAACCCCCGCACCCCCCTTTAAAATCTTATCTTTCGTAACTTTTGTGACTGAAAGTTAGCTCGCCTTGTGACTTTTTTTTACGATTTCTATTTTTTTAATATTATTAATAAATGTGCGTGAACATAAAAGTGGCAAATTTTTCAAAGCATAAAGATTGGAGACATCATTTAGATCGCATATGGCACAAGAATAGGCTTAGATTGTAAATAAGGCATAGGTGTTAAAAAATGTAGCATAGGATGGCATAGAGTCGACGTAAGGTTTAAATAACATGAGATTTTGACATAGTGAATTCTAGCTTTCTGAAGAAGATTGATTCACGCATAGCTTTCTATTTCTTTCTCCAGGACATTCACGCTTACAAACCTGACAAACCCTTATTCTTTTAGTTCTTTTAATAAGTCGTTCAGGAGGCATGGTTTGTTGTTGTGCGGGTAGGATACTTCTATACAATGAATTCTATATATTAAAATATCAATTAATATTTGGAAATGGCATAACATTTTTTTGCCTCAATCTCTAACAAAATACTTACTGGTCTACTGTTTGAGACAATATTTACTTCTTGAGGTAAGGAAGTATATTGATGCTGATTAAATGAGGGGATATTGGTTGTATTAAT